CTTCAGTAGGAGTATTTCTTAATACCCAAACTATCTTCAAATTAAATTTCCTAAGTATCAGAAGAAAAGCTTTAATTGTATGACTTGCTACTGGTAGTTTTGACTCAGCAGAACCTCTCAAGTAAGTAGGAAGAAGAGGCACCCAGGGACCCTGTTAGGTGCGTTACATAACTCAATAAAAAGAGCCACGCACGGTGCTGAGGGCTTTCTGTGTATCGCCGCAGGTATGGTAAGCCCTATGAAGAAAACCTTACCTTCCATTTGATACTTACAGCAAGTGAAACACTACATAACTTGTTCAAATTCACTTAATTAATACAAGAATTACCGTGCAGGAACCCAAGCCAGGCCTGTCCAACACTAGTGCTTGTGTTCTGCCTGCTATGTTACACTGCAAAGCACATCACGTTCATTTTTAATAGACTTCAGTACATTTAAAAACATAAATGAGGCAGTAAAAGTTTAAGAGGATTTTTAGCTTTATATTACAATGGTACAATGTAGAAGAACCACAAAACAATCATGCATCGTGCCCACTCTTCCCTAACAGCACCGTATCATACCTCACCTCCTCCAGCACTCCCACGAGGCTAGCCCTGGACTTTCTAAAACAGGTACTCTGTTGCTGGACATGGTGGCCCACACCTGTAATCCCAGCAACTGGGAGGCTGAGGCAGAAGGATCACCATGAGTTTGAGGCCAGCTTGGGGTACACAGTGAGTTCAAGGCCAGCCTGAACTGCACAGCAAGATCCTGTCTCAAAAAAATCAAATAAACAAAAAAAATCCAAAGTAAGTAAAATCGGTACTCTGCACCATATATACAGAAAATTGTGACTGTTTAAATTACTTGAAGATAGCCTTTTATTTGTAAGTGATTACTCTGTAAGAAGTTTGATAGACGTTTGATAGTGAAATGGAAAAGCCATGGTCATATGCTCACAAAAGAAAACACATTAAAATGAGGTTAAGAAATAAAAGTTTATTTTAAAAATAAACATCTCACTTTAATGTCCTGAGAGCTCACACATTCACAAGATCACATTCTCATGTATTATAAATCATCTCCTGATGACGTAACTTTGGATATATGAATTGATCAAGAGAGATCAACAAACACTGGCCTGCAAAATCTAAAATTATAATGACAGAAAAAATGGCTTTTTTAAAAATGGGAAACTCTAAATGATAACAAAATTGATACAGCACTCTTTGTATACTGTCTCAAAAACAGCATACTAGTGAGTATTTTCACAAAGATTTCATCTTCATAAGTGCATTAACAGTGATGAATTAGACCCCAACATCCCTGTGTAGGAAAGAGAGCAGCACAGTCCCTCCTTTTTTAGTGCTGGCTATGGATAAGCTGTCCATTGAAGAGTTTAGGAAAGTGTTTCTTCTAAAGTATAGCTACAAAGATATTTCACCCTCTCTCTGCATTTTCCCTCTCGGGGACACAGTAGTCAAGGCACCATCTTGGAAGCATAATCCAGGCCTTCCCTAGACACCAAAATTGTCAGCACCTTGATCTCACACTTCTCAGGCTCCAAAATTGTAAGAGACTAATTTCTGTTCTTCATAAACTACCCCATCTCAGGTACTTTGTTACAGCAGTGTAGAAGTAACTAACACCAAGTCTCACATAGATATACAAAATATTTACTCAATTTTTAATGTATTCTTTCAGTATCTCACTCTGTGTGCGTATGTGTATATGTTCTGCAGATACTCAGTTTTAAGTAAACACCAGCCCATTGAGGAAAACCTCTAACATAAAGAACTCAAACAGATATTCGTTAGCTATTAATAAAGTTACTCATGTAGATGTGTATACAAGAGAAGACTGCATACTGTAAAAACCATAAAAAGCGAAAAAAGCAGAAACAAAAAACTTGAGCCCAGGGTGGTGGTGCACACCTGTAACTCCAGCTACTCAGAAGACTGAGGCAGGAGGAATGCAAGTTCCAGGCCTATCTCAAAATAAAATTTAAAAAGGGCTAGCAGTGTAGTTCAGTGGTAGTACACTGAAGGTGAAAACCTGAGTTTAACCTCTAGTACCTCAAAACAATAGCAACAACAAACATGAAAACTAGAATAAAAATGGACAGATGACTCTTTTCTCAGGTGGGGAAATAGAACTGAGAAAATCCAAGCTGTGAGATGTGACTGCATGAAACACTTACAGGGTTCAGAAAGATTTAGGGAGACTTTCTAAGAGTATCAACACTTAGGATGATCAACATAGCACCCTAGATTCTTGTAAGGACTTGAATCTATATGTCTCCCTCAAAGCCTCATAGGCTAATAGGTGGGGCTTTTCAGAAGTGACTTGATATCACACTGGGATTAAAAGTATGTGATAACTAAATTGGTTTAACCTAGTTCTGGGTGTGGACAATGGAAGGTCCACCCTGAGTGTTGGTGACACCAATCAATAGGCTTGTATGTAATATAAAGCGATGATATATAAAGGGAGGCCTGCTGCTACTGCTGCTGCTGCTTCAGTGCTTTTTGCCTGCCCTGCCATGGACTGTTTCTCCTCTGCCATGTTGCCCTGTCCTGAAAAGCTGACTATAGACTGAAACCTCTACAAACTGTGAAGCCAAATAAACCTTTAACTTGTGGGTGTAAGGTATTTTGTCTTAGCAATGAGAAAAGTAAGACAATTTTATATGAAGTGGAGAGCCTCAGTGATAAGTCCCTGTCCCCAAGTAACAAATTATCTGAGGAGTTAATCCATACGTAGAATATCAACCAGTGTTTTGCAAATTTTTGAACTAAGACTCACTGTAAAAAATATATTTTATATGATAAGCCAGGAATGCAAGAAAAGTACCATGGGATAATATCACCCCTTTTTATGTACAACACATTTTCATATTTTCCATTCTGGTCTATTTTATTCCAGGCTTCTCAACGCTGGTTACAACCCACTAAACTTACTTCATGGATCACTAATGGGTTGCAACTTACATTTTTAAAAACAGTGCAAAAGACTGAGTGGATTTTATTAAAAAGAAAACACTTCTGGAATAGAAAATTGGAGGTGGCAGAGAGGATGGTAGGAAAACAGAGATTTGATGGAAAAAGTATTTGACCTGAGCTCTCAAGACCATCTTTGACAGACAGTGAATGGGAAGAAGGCTGTTACAGGCGAAGGGAAGGGAAGAGAAGTAAAGGCTCAAAAGCAGGAAAACAAAACGTTTGCTAAGGCAGAACAGAGAAAAAGGTAAGTCTGGACGAAGGACAGAAATAGAAAATGGAGACAGAGGCGGGTTGGAGATTAATCACCAGAGGTTTGACAACTATGCTAAGGAGTCTGACATTTCTCCAATAGCAATGGAGATCAAGGAGTGTGGGGAGGGGCTGCCAGTGAACTGTGGTAATCTCATAATAACTTACCAATAAATTTTATACGCATAAAATTATATAAATGGAAGGCTGGCATCATGGTACACCCATGTAATCCCAGCAATCTAGAAAGCTGAGACCAGAGGATTGCAAGTTCAAGCCCACCCTGGGCCACTCAGCAACTTAGTAAGACTCTGTCTCAAAATAAAAAATAAAAAGGGCTGTGGATATAGCTCAGTGGGAAGGCCCTGAATACTGGTGGGGAAAAAAACCACAATATATGTATGTATGAATATATATATATATATATATATATATATATATATATATATATATATATCACTCAGTGAACCAACAGAAGTTCATTTTATTTATTTGGATTTTTTCCCTCTCAATCCTTTCTAAAACAAAATAACAAATTGATGTGAAGAGTCTGGACCCTGAAGAGAAGAGCAAGCAAGTTCCTGCACAAACAGATATCCTTTCTCTCCTCTTGTAACCAACTACATTAGTATAGAGAGTGCTCTGTACCTAAGATCCAGCCTGAAGAAACTGCTTTTACTTTCTTGAGTATTCCAGGTTCTTTAACTACTTGGCTTTTTGTACCTGCTATTCCTTCAACTTGGAAAGCAATTCTTGATGACTGACATTAAGCTAGATGTCACCAGGCCTCATTTCAGAGTTTGGTTAGACGCCCTTGCTGTCGCCTCCTGGGGTAATTCTCCTATCCCTGCATTTTTATAAACCTTAGATTACAACTATTTATCTGCCTTCAAAATCAGTCTAAAACTTCCACGAGGACAAAGCTACATTGATTTTCATTATATCCAAAACTTTATTTACTGGTATAGATAGTGCTTAGCCCATAGTGAACATTCAATAAATACTTGATAACATAAAGCTTTTGTTTTGTATACCAACATGTACATTTAAGTCTAGATTTGAAAAGTCAAAAGCTGATTCAAGCAAAAACAAATAACCTATAATCTGCCTCTTGAGCAAACTAATCTAACTGTACAGACTTACCTATAGAAGCACTGCCCCAAATAAGTTAAATAGGTAAGGCAGTGTGAGGAGTTTGAACTTGAACTACATAAAGAGCTACTGTGGGTGAAGACGTAGGCATATAATTAAAATAGGGCAGTACGAAGATTAGTCTACTCTGGAATGCAGCATAGAATGGTGAATTTTTTTCCACCACTATGTTTGGCTTGTATTTTGAGCTGTGAGCACATGATATAGCAACATGAACAACCACCCACAAAAGCTAAGCTTGCATGGATGAAGTTTAGTATTTGTTAACTGGATGAAATTTTTTCTGAGGATTTACTTTTATGCATTCTGCTATGTTGTATAATAAAAATAAATTTTAGGGTGTGAGATACAGTTCAGAGCTAGAGCTACACCTACCATGTCCAATGCCCTAGGTTCAACCCCTAGCATGGAATAAAAATCATAAACCATAACCTGACTCATAATGAAAGGGAATAAAAAGTGTTGAAAGCTGAGTCACATTAATGTGTCAGCATTCCTGTACAGAAAGGAGAGTCTATGATGCTTAACGGGAAATAATGGGAAAGAATCCATATAAAATGACTAAACTTACTATTCTCAAAGGACCAAATGGCATTTTTCTTATTGTTTTCTTACCTCGTTAGTGCTTCTGTACCAACGAATAGTTTCAATGACAACTATGACTCCCACTTCTGGAGATAAGCGGAAATATGGTAAATGTTTGCAAAGTCCAAGACTTCCTCATGGGCTGCAAAAAATATAGACGAAGAATCTGAAAGAATTTCAGTGGACAGTGGGTTCAAAGTATCCCGAGGATACAGTGGAAACGCTGGGGAGAGACACGAGTTTTGTTTTTGATTAGCAGTATGTGAAAAGGGGTAGGGAAGATGTCCTGAACTAGGGAACTCCTGAGCTCAGTACAGACTATTCATTAGCACAGGGTAGAGAAGCACTTACTATGTGGTAGCTGAGAGCAGAAGCCTGGGAATCCCAGCAGATAAACAGAGGACAGAAGATCACAAGGAGCTTGACAAGCCATGCTAAGGACCTCCAACTTTGATTTTGCAAGAAATGAAGAAAGTGTTTATACGTGGGAATGATGATGTTCAGATATGCACTTTAGATCACTTTGAAATCAATATGGAAAAAGAATGGAAAATGTTGAAACTAGATATTGAGAAATCATGTAAGGGAGTCACTTCAAAACGCAGAAGATGATGAGGGCTTCAAGAGACAGAAGCAGAAACGAAACTGATAGAAGAGACTTGAGAATTATTTAGGAGGTAAAATCAGGAAGGTTTTTCTTTTCTTTTGTGATGATGAGAATTGAATCCAGGGTCTTGAGCATGTTAGGCAAGAATTCTACAACTGAACTACACATGCAACTCTGAAGTCAGGAAGGCTTTCATGTTGCAGGCAATCAAGGAGACCAAGAAGTTTAGAACGCTTTTCAAAGTCTGGGTGGATGATCAGATCGTATAGTGAAATGGAGACAGTAAAAAAAAAAAATTAGTGAAAAGTGGGAATGGAGCATCAGCAAAAAGAGAAGGTGTATTTTGCTTTGTACATGTTGAATGTGGGCTACCTGTGGGGTAGCACATCAGTTTAGCCAACTGGGTACATCAAACTGAAGGGAAAAGAAGAGAGGTCAGAGTAGAAGCCATGCACTTGGGAGTCACCATCAAAAGACACAAGTAAAACCATGAAGAGTAGTTTAAATTGCCCATACAGAGCTAGTAGAGCCCAAAGAAAGGGCAATGGATTGAAGTCAGACAGTGGGGTGTCTAACATTAGGAGGAATGGGCTTACTACCTTAAATCTTCTGTAAGGAGTCATCTCTAAAGAATTTTCTTTTATTATTCAAAACTCTTAAAGCTTCTTAGGACTTAATAACGAAAAAGCTTGCTATGTCTTCTTTTGAAACAAGAGAAACAAAGTCAAGGTCAAAATATAATTCATTAAGAACATTTAATTCTTAATATTTAATTATTTAATAAATTAATTGACATTTATTGTGCACTTACTACATAACAAGCTCTGTGTTAACTGTCTTATAAGCATTATTTATTTTAAACTTAGTAACAACCTTCACAAATGAAATTTATAAGTGATGGATGAGGTCTGGGTAAATTTAGAATCTCTCTTCTTTTTTTTTTCTTTTTTGGTACCAGGAATCAAACTCAGGACCTTGCACTTGCCAGGCAGGCACTCATGCCACTGGGTTGTATCACTGGCCCAGAATCTCTCTTCTGCCTTCTACTTCTATTCTGTCTCTCTGTCTTTCTTGGCAATGCTGGGGATTGAATCCAGAGCACACACATGCTAAGCCAGTACTCTACCACTGAGCTACACTCTCAGCCCATGAGGCTCCATTCTTAACCACTGTTAAATATAATTTCCCAAAGGTGCTGAAAACAAATTATAAGTGATGAGAGTCAACTTACTACTGCTATACATAACAATGCTTAGCAATGACATTCACTCATCTTGTGACCATATTATAACATACATTTTAAAGGAGGTATATTCTATCTTTACAAATGATTATACTAATGTTTGAATAAAAGTTCTAGTAAGTGCCATGATCCACAGACTCATTCTTCTTTTATCACAGAGAGAAACATCAGAATGGAAACCTGAAGATGAGGGTGCAGCTCAGTGGTAGGAGCATGAATTTACCATGAGTAAAGGCCTGGGTTTGATCCCAACCTCCGCAACAATAGAGGTCCAGAAAGTTCCAGAAAACAAAGCTTTTAATTTGCTGCATTGCTGATGTGCTGGCTTATCCTGCTGAAGCTTCCCACCATCTTACAGTCTTTCTCCAGCACTGGTTTCAACATTACTGCATGGTATTGTTTTTTGTTGTACTGGAGACTGAAACAAGGCCTGTAGACTGAGCTACATTCCCAGCCCTTCTTTTGAGTTTTTTATTTTGAGAGAGGGTCCTACTAAGTTACTAAATTGCCCAGGTGGGGCTGAATTTTGCAATCGTCCTGCCTCAGTCTTCCAGAGTATGGGGATTACAGATGTGAACTACCATGATGAGATGCCCACTACTTCGTTTGTGAGCTGTGTCATTAGGCCTAGAATGACTGCATCGATGATTATACTAAGCATGAACAGACTTTTCCTCCATCATTATTCCCTAAATAATATAGTATGTCAGCTATTTACATCAACTTACATTGTATTAACTGTCACAAGCAATGTACAGACGATTTATATAGGAGGATGTATGCAGATTACTGCAAGTACTACGTCGTTTTATATAAGGGACTTGAGCTCTGTGGCTTTTGGCAGCCATAAGGGGTCCTGGAATCACAGATACCAAGGATCAACTCTATACACCATCCTTTTTCATTACAAATTTGCAAAATGTATCATTTTAAGTGAGCTATATGCCTGACAGATTCTTCTTCTGTACATACTTACCCAATAAACCATAATGACTCATAACCACTGTTTATTACTTAAGTCTGTGTTTTGCAACTAGTTTTTCATTTTTTCTCATTTTAAAACTGAACTATGTGCATAAACAGTATAATGAAATTATGATAGATGAATATTAACAGCAGGAGCTTAAAATTTAAAAAAGAGTTCAGTACATTTGAATGGCTTGCCTTCTCATTTTCCCAGGAAACCTCAAACAAGTAAATTTTATTCTTTTAATAGAAGTGGGAGGTAAAATATTTCTGATTCTCACAACTTTAACAATTTTTAAGTATACTGTATGAATAAGATTCTGTATACCATTATTCGAAGTCATGCTTTGGCTTTCTGTACAAACAAAGATGATCAACACTGATCCAGTCATACCACACGACATTTCAAAATGGTAAAAATATTCCTAAAATGTACATGATCACTGGATTTTTTAAATTAGAAATCGCACAGATCTTGAAAATAAATACAAAATAAGCAGTGATTGTTTCTCCAACAGCTTTGCACCTGTGAGCCCATTTCCAAACTCCTTCTGACTGTGATTCAGCAGCAAATTCCACCAGTACATTGTAGAACTTTTGAAAATTAAATTAGAAATACTTGTTCATACTAAATTAAAATCAAATGGATCAAAGATTTAAATATTAAAACAGAAAATTAAACCTACTGGAAGATAAAATAGGTAAAACACTTGAAGACCCTGGTGTATGAAAGGATTTTCTAAACAGAATCTCAACTATACAAGAAATAACAGCAAGAACCAACAAACTGGGTATCAGTCTAAAAAGCTTCTACACAGCAAAAGAATCAGTCAGGAGGGTAAAGAAACAACCTACAGAATGGGAAAAAAATTTTGCCAGCTACCCCTCTGACAGGAGTAACATCAAGAACATATAAACGACTAAAAAAAAAAAAAAAATCAAACCACCTAATATTAAAGACTCAGTGGATGGGCATGGTACTGCACACCTGTAATCCTAACACACAGGAGGCTGAGGCAGGAGGATTGCCACAAGTTCGAGACCAGCCTGGGCTACATAATGAGTTCAGGGCCAGCCTGAACTATATGGTGAGAACCTATTTCAAAAAAATCTTTAAAATAACAATATTAAAGATTCAGCAAAGAAATGGGCACAAAAAATGAACAGACACATTTGAGACATTTGTAAGAAAATGGATGCACTTGGAAAATATAATGTTAAGTGAAATAAATCAGACACAAGCTTAAATACCATATGATATCTCTCATTTGAGTGAGGTAAAGTACAAACAAAGAGAATAATAAAGAATGGATAGAAGGGGATAAGAGGATGGACTTCTTACAATAGGTAAGTTATCCAAGGAAATAAGGTTCAGAGGTGGGAAGCAGGAGGGGAAGCAAGAGGAATAAAGATGTGCCATGCATCAGAACCTAATAACCCATGTTAAGGTAAACATCAGCTGCCATAGCATGAACTAAGATGAATAATCTCAACAAGAATGAAAAACGCGATAGAATTAGAGAAGGAGGGAGAGGGAGGGGGAAGGAAGGGGATTAAAAATAAAAAAGAAACAAGCTGTAGAATGCACATATAGCCACTCCCAGGATAACTGTAAACTGCGTGTACTGCAAAAATTTTTAAAGCAATACTTTTTCACCTTAATTCATCTCCAGTGAATGGCTGTACGTATGTAACTCTAAATTTAAGTACAACTACACTACTGTTCTCTGATTCATGTAGAATAATTCTTGGATTCATGGCAATATCAAGCGAAATGACACTGCAAAGAAACTCTTTGTTTTCAAATACATCAGTGCTTGGTTTTAGACAATGCTATAAAGAATCTTATTCATGCAGCATACCCTAGTTAAATTGTGAAAGTTGAAAACAACAAAAACTTCCACCTCTATATAAATTTCATAGAACAACAGACTTTTAGAGGTGAAAGGAACTTTTAGTGATTTGAAGTAAAAAAAAAAAAAGTCAAATTTGCTAAGGGTTACTTAAGTTAGTAACAGATAGAATACTAGGGTTTAGGCCTTTAAATTCCTTAGCAAAGGCGACTAAATAGTGTCACACATTAGGCAAGTTAATGTCAGCCAACATTTATAATGTGCCGGCTTTATGCTCTTCAATATGCTTTTCATTTTCACATCCTTCATTTCTCTCCCAGTTCAGTTCATAAGTTAGAACAAACTTATTAAAACAATAGCATTTACTCCTTTGGATGTTTAGTTGTCAACAGAGTAATGCCACGTGACATAAGGGGAAAGATAATTCAATTACTGCAATAACCACACTACTGAAGAGGAAGTATTTCAGTAGC